CCAGTCCCTCCAATGCCAACCCTCGGCTCCGGCACAGCCCAACCCCTTGGCAGCGGAATTCCCTTGGATGAAGGAGAAGAAATCGGCCAAGAAATCTACCCAGGCTCCATCCTCTTCTTCCTCTTCTTCCCCCCCATCATCTTCCTCGCTGCCGGTCCCTGCCGCAGGATCTCCTGCAGGTTCGTATAATCACGGGGTGAGGGGGTGTTTGCTGAAATCAGAAATCCGAGAGGACCCGAATAATAAAAAAAAAATCCTCCTCCCCTGGCTCAGAGCATCCCCTACCCCAGCCCCCTCCTCTCCAAAGCTGCCCCGAAACTGTGTCACGCAATAAAATACACCGTAGTGATTTACCCAGCCCGGGGTGGTGTTTTCTCCTCCCTCCTCCCCCTGAAAAATAAAAAAGCAAATTGCTGTAAGTTCTGTGAAATCCAAAAAGGAGAGAGAAAAGGGGCCGGGAGAGCTGAGCTCCAGCGTGGGGACCTGAATCACAGCTCTGTTTGCTTGACTTTCTGTCCCAACCCTGAATTATTTACAGCCTACGGGGGGAAAGGAAAAAATAAAGAAGAAAATAAAAAAAAAAGGGAAAACAAAACCCCCCCAAGAAGTGCAGAGGAGGGGAAAGAAAGACGAGTGGGTAACGGGGGGAGCTGCTATCAGCAGGATGGGAAGGTGAAAGAGTGAGAATTGAGCTCTCAGCTTTCAGCACGAGGATGTAAACCAGAATAAATACACCCCGAAATCCTCCTCAATAAAGGAGTAGCCTCTCTCCTTGGCGGGGAGTTTGGTATCTCTGACCAGGGACATTATTTCCCTCGGGATAAAGTGTTTGAGGCACAATTCGGGATTTTAAGAGCAAGATTCAAGTAGAAATTCAGGTAGGAGAAGGGATGACACCGGAATTTATTGGTCGGGAAATAGAGGAATAATGAAATCAAAGCTTTTCGAAAGGGAGAAAAATAAAAAAGGAAGGAAGGAATGGTTCGAAATTCCCTTTCTTTGCTAGGATGGTAGAGAAAAGTCTCTAAAGGGAGAGGCCAGGAAGGAAAATCTTTTCTCCTCCTTGAGGCTAAGGGACCAGAGGGTGATTTTCAGCGTGGGATGAGTTTAATGAAACATTTATTTCCTCACGTAGCTGTTTCCCCTCACCCACCCCGTGCTCCTTAGTGCGGGCACAGCTCTGCCCTGCCTGCCACAAGGAGGGGAAGGTTCCAACCCCTCTCCTCGCAAAGTGTCGTTTTCTGTGTATTTAAGACACTCAGGGACTGACAGACACCAGCGGCTCCAGGAGACTCCGAACCGCCTACACCAACACTCAACTCCTGGAACTAGAGAAAGAATTTCACTTCAACAAATACCTCTGCAGGCCCCGACGGGTAGAAATCGCTGCTTTACTCGACCTCACCGAAAGACAAGTCAAAGTTTGGTTCCAGAATCGCAGGATGAAGCACAAAAGGCAAACTCAGTACAAAGAACCCAATGATGGGGATGTCGCCTACTCCAACCTGGATGAGGGTAGTGATCCTGCGGAGGATGGAGAGGGTAGTCCTGGGGTCAGGGTGGGCACAGAGCCCCAAGGGCAGTCCCGGAGCTCCGGGCAGGGCAGTACAGAGCTCGGGGCAGCAGCAGAACCCAGTGCCTGCCCTGGGACCCGCGACTCGCCCGTGCTGGCAGAGCTGAACATCTTCTCGGCAGAATCCTGCCTGCAGCTCTCCGAGGAGCTTTCTCCTACTCTCCACGCCTCCCTGGAGAGTCCCCTGCACTTCTCCGAGGAAGATTTGGACTTTTTTACCAGCGCACTTTGTACTATAGATCTGCAGCATTTCAATTTCCAATAGCGATTCCCCCCCCGCTGT